CAACAAAAGGTAGTAAAAGTGTCACCAAGCTTGACTATTAGGTAGATAGTATCTTTTGTTCAGTATTAGAGATGGTAATTTGTATCAGAACATACAATTGTTGAGGTAATTTTAAAGAGGCAATGTATTTCCGCCACGCAACCCAACATGGTCAATTTTGACACCAGAGAAATCGTGAAAAATACAGAACAATCGAAAACTGTCTATATCACTGCTTGGGACCTTACATATACATTTTTGGGTTAATGACCTTTCATCCCATAAAAACTCTTAAAAAGGCTTAAATAAAAATATGAAACAGGTATATTGGCGTATTGGACCAAAGTATGAATGCACCAAGATTCAAGTTAATCTGTCCAGAAATAAAGGAATGGTGGTCGATTGAAAAGTGTTTGGAAGAAGAAGAAAAAACAATAGAAAAACAGTATGTCTATCTTCGGAGACATAATTACAAGTCAAGCTAATTTTATATGCTTGCGTGTAAAGATACAATTTAGCGTTACAATTAGGTACTACGTGTAACCATATTATTTCATAAACTGGTTTCAATCAGACTAAAAAAAAACCCATCTTATCTGAAGTCCAAGGCAGAGTATAGTTGTTATATATATTACACCAACATAAGAATTACACTTGGTATCATGCATGAACAAAAAAATCGGCCTCAAGTAATTTTTGTCTCCCTCATATATATATAGTGGTTGGTTTTCGAGAACCAGCTTATGTGAAACTCCTGTAAAACTTGGATATTTCTTCTTATATCTAGCTATTATATTTGATGACATGAGACCTTATGCCTTTGAAGATTTTTTTCTTAAAGAACCAATAAATCCTGACACCAGTAGTATTGATAATTACAAGCTGCTCGAGAACAGTGAGACTAATGATCACTAACAGTTACGGTTAATGTGTTGCAGATAATATCACTATCGGTTTGCAACACAGTAACCGTAACCGTTAGTGATCTTATCTGCAACACAGTAACCGGGTAAGATCACTAACGGTTACGGTTACTGTGTTGCAGATAAGATCACTAACGGTTACGGTTACTGCGTTGCAGGTAAGATCACTAACAGCTACGGTTACTGCGTTGCAGATAAGATCACTAACAGTTACGGTTACTGCGTTGCAGATAAGATCACTAACAGTTACGGTTACTGCGTTGCAGATAAGATCACTAACAGTTACGGTTACTGTGTTGCAGATAAGATTACTAACAGTTACGGTTACTGTGTTGCAGATAAGATCACTAACAGTTACGGTTACTGTGTTGCAGATAAGATCACTAACAGTTACGGTTACTGTGTTGTAGATAACTGTGGCAAAGTCAAAATATTTAACCTTAGAATTACCCATTGGATTCATATGGATTTTTCAACACATCATTTTAAATATTTATGCACCAAATTGCTTGTGAGTCCATGACTTTGTTGGTTACAGGGTCCTTAGTAAGTTACACAAAATACGTAAACAAAAATATCATCAATATTTCATTTGATCATTTTAATTACTACTGGGATTCCTATGTATTTTACATAAAAAGTGAGAGAGTTTTACCCAATTTCTTTTGTTCATTTTTTTTACACTGAGTGTTCTAACGGGCCAAAAAATAAAGTAACTCAAAATCATGAAATATGTGGACCCTACCGGCAGTGAACGGTATAAAAACAAGTCGGTATATGAGGGTTAAGATGGCTTTCTTTGCAAGTGTAAGCATGATATATCTATTTATGTAGAATAAAATATTCTAACTTAATCATTGTCTAAGCAGACATACAACGTCATAAAAGAATAATATGTTATTAATAACTTATGGTCAAAGTCAGCTAGCTATATAGATTAGAACCAAAAAAATAACTCTTAAATTAATGAAGCTTCTGTATAACAGACTGGCTAGGAGTACTTTATGTCATAAATCAATACAAACGAAAACAAAAACCTATAGACATGATAATGCATTGAATCATTAGATAAGTATTCTCGCTGTTACGATATTTTTTTGCTACAATGTTTTATAATTGGGATATATCGTGCAAGATTTACCTTATGAAACGGTCTTCATGCATCCTTATAGCATCCCAGACTCTATAATCGCAGATAGTCATATTCTTATATATATGTGTGTGTATTAAATACTTGTTAAATACACTGAAGAAGAAACGAACCACTATTATTGTCTTTTTCTACGTGTACTGTACATCCACTAAATGTCATATTTCTCTTCATAGCACTACGCTTTATTTTTTTTACTTATAAAATTAAATCTTTAAAAAAAATTCTGTAAACTTTCTATTATAATTTTGTTCAGAATTCTTGTAAAATTTATCAACCCCCAAAGAAAACTAAGACACTTCAGTCTTCAGTAACCAACATCACAGTGGTTACAATTGTGGGGACAAGTAGCACTCTTACGTCTTCTGGTATAAAGATGGATTAATACATGATCTGCATTATCTGAATATAGACGTTAGAGATTGTGCGATCATTATCTGTAGTCTTCAATCCTTAGTGATCTGCGTTGTTTCAATAGAGGTGTCAGATGACCACGCGATCAGTATCTGTTGTTTTATATTTTCAACGGAATGGTATACAATATTTGAATGTAGATGTAAATAAAATTTCCTAAACGAAACATTATATATTTTTGTGTTTCCTTTTTGTAGGTAATTTTGGCAACACTATGGATCCTCGTAAATGAATCGTTGTTTTACACTTCCTGATGCTCTAAAGTTTTTTTTTTGTTCTTTTAACAGGTTCTTCACCACCCAAACAACAACAGTTTTACTTTTGGGTTAGGGTGGGAGATGGGTGAAATAAACACTCTAAAAATTGTTTTGAAAATTATGGAGCCCCAGAAAAATATTCCATAATACTTGTCTATTATACCTCATCACTATTATGTAAGTCCATAATACTTGTCTATTATACCTCATGACTATTATGTATAATAGTGATGAGGTATAATAGACAAGTATTATGGACTTGTAAGTCCATAATATTTGTCTATTATACCTCATCACCATTATGTAAGTCCATAATACTTGTCTATTATACCTCAGTTCTATTATGTAAGTCCATAATACTTGTTTATTATACCTCATCACCATTATGTAAGTTCATAATACTTGTCTATTATATCTCATCACTATTATGTAAGAAAAGTTCCACAAGAATCGCTAAGATTTTCCACTTCTGTTGATTTTACACACACATACATATATATATATATATATTTAACAAACAATGATGGAAGCATGTTTTGAAAATCACGGTTTTAGAATTGTTTCATTTTATTTTATCCTTTGTATCTTTTAGTAGTGAAGCTCGTTCATAGTGCACCCTTTTCGTTTATATAGAGAATCAAAGTTGAGGTGATATTAATATTTTTCGTTGATTTAATAACAACTATCAAATTATCCACTTATTTTCTTACTGTTCACTACCGGTAGGGTCAATTTATTTTATCCTATTGAGTAATTTTATGTTTTTTGGCCTAACACAACACTCATTGTAACGAACTGTCAGAAAAAAAGGATGAATCCGTCTATTTTATATGTAACATACACAAGAGATCCCATCAGCAATTATTGGGGTTAATTATAACGTTGATGATATTTCTGTTAACATTTCTGTGTGTTATAAGGAACTCCATAACCAAACAAAGTCATGAATCCATAAGCAATTCGATGCGGAAATAGTTTAGGATTACTGAATACGAGTAAATATGTGCAGCGTACATATGTATCCTTAGGTAACTTGTACGTTTAAAAGCTATTAGTATTAGTCACATTAGGCTTATTATAGGGCTCAAACATTATCTAGTCTTGTTATGATTATTTTTTTATATAAAGAACAGATGTAAGCTTGAAAAGAAATAGTTCGTGGAAAATCTGATTCTATTTTACAGAGGTAAAATATTTTAGATGTGGTTAGGACTACTTGCGTCTGTGTGGTTTTAAAAAAAATGTAATAATTCCAGAAAAAAAAAAGTTTTATGACGACTGTAAATTTGAAATGAATGAGAGTGCATTCTTTTGAAAGTTAACCAAACGAAACTATTGAAAGTTGACATTTTATTTGTAAAAAACAATTTTATAAAGGGAAAGAGCAAAATAAATCGGTAAGACAAATTAATTACAAGGAAAAAAAAATGCCAAAAACAAAAAGAAATAAAGACAACATCATTCTGATAAACAGAAGTAAGATAATGAAAAAAAGTGAATAAATAAAGCACTAATATTACGATCTTTTAAGCGTATTAGGATCATGGTAATATTTCAGTTCAAATATTTTGCCAAGAGATGTCGCTAGATGTCGTATTACGAAATTTAACATCAACACAGAATTTGTTGCATCTGTAAAATTGTCACTTCCAAGTGAATTGTAGTATAATAATTCTATCAGAGAACTAAAATCGAAATTATAACACTTGAAAATTCCTGTTTTCTTTCTATATATAAATATACGGGTAAATTTGTGTATATATGAAATATGTTTTCCTAATATATATATATATATATAATACCTTAGAACTGCATTAGTGTAATATAAAGGTTGTAACTTACGAGTAATATATATGTACACGGCACTATCTTCATTACATGACGTGAACAGGTGTTTAAAAGTGCATTTCTTAAATTGTAGTTGGAGAAGAAATAAAATGATTAGTTGGAAGAAAAATAATCCTTTCGGACCTGTAAAAGTAGCTTAGAAGTAAGACATGTTGAGAACGAGACTTAGTACAGTAATAAGAGTATATAAGTGTCTATGACATATTGTGCTAGGTTTGCACCGTACATTACAAACTGAAAGTATACATGAATACATTTATCTCTCCACATAAATCTCGCTGTATGACAGAAAGTCTCTTGAACGAGTGCGCGCATTGGTTGCAAACTATGGGAGCGCGCCTCAGGCACATAAGGGCGTTAGCAAGCCTGTGCCGATGTCGAGGAAAGCTTTACTCCCAAGTTATAGTCTATCTGGGTGCTACAGCTTTATGCTGTGTCTTGACGCTTAATCGCTAATTCGTGCAACGAATCAAGTTGCGTTGGCAGCCACAGGCTTTGACGTTTGAGAGCTGTGAGTGGTGGGACACGAATGGATCAAGACTGAAGCTCATGAGGTGTCTCTACATGCCCCAAGAAAATATTATGAACTCCACGAAGTAAAGTTGTAAGTAAGATTGGTTAGGATATTGTATAATAAGATGGAGGCTACAGCCGGAACTGGAACTGCCTCTCTTTCAGAAACCAAGCCTAATCCTTCAGAAAATAGCATGAGATCAGAGACTTTCTGTACTGGTTCAGAGAGAGAAAGTCCACGAACTGGACATTCTTCCACTTCCCCTTCAGGACAAGGTCATCCCCACGTGCCTGGCGAGCCTCTCATAAGTCAGCTGAACGGGGCTGGTTCTCCTGGCCAGGGGTCAGGCACAGGCTCGTCCCCGAGTCCTCCCGGTTCCAGTCTGTTGCCGGACCTAGCCACTCGTCAATTCACGCCCGCTTCTCTTGCCTCGACTGTGGCTAGTATGATCAGTGCAGGAGTCAAGTCAGGCGTCGAAATGAACCACACTTCTCCTGGGGTGTCTGTTTCTGGAATGCCCTGGTCCCTTATGCCTAGCAGTTACGGGTACGGCGGTAACCGGCTGGAGCGCCCGATGCATTCGGGTTCTCCGCCTGGGATTCCCGCAGATTCAGCCCATGAGTGTCGCCTGATCGATTATCGCGGAGCCAAAGTGGCCGCTTTCCGTGTGCAGAACGAATATCTGCTGTGTCTACCACAAGCCTTTGAACTGTTCCTGAAACACCTTGTCGGAGGACTGCACACAGTTTACACCAAACTGAAACGGCTGGACATCAATCCGATTGTGTGTAACGTAGAACAGGTCCGGATCTTGCGAGGACTGGGAGCAATCCAACCCGGCGTGAATCGTTGTAAGCTGTTGTCTTGCAAAGAGTTTGATATTCTGTACAAGGACTGCACCACTGCCAGGTAGGCCGTACTGAGCGGAAGTTCCATTGATTAGCCTTTCACTTATCTATTTGTTTGTTTTTAATAGGATGTTATTTTGTAGATTGTTTAGTGTTGAATACAGTTACGACAATTTGGCTTCAATATAATGTTCGTCTTTATCCCCTGCACAGTTTCAAGTTATACTTGTTTTACTAAAGTTACCAACAGCTTAGTTGTATGGAAACCAAATGGTACAACTTTCTCAAACAATTAAAAACATCATCACTTGTTCGAAGATAAATCATGTTCTTAGTAAGTTACAATTTGTACGTTTCTTTATTATATTATATGTTATGGTTAAAAACTGTCACACACGAAATCAGAGTTTTCATCCTTAGTTATTTATTCTCATTGAAAGTAAATTATGGGTTAAATATTTTCTAATCTCTTATAACCTCTCAAAAGAGCTGAATTATGGCAATAAAAATAACTCTATATTTTTAAGTGCTGCTTAGGACTTTCAGCTGTGATATCCCAATAATTTGTTTATTTTCACTAAACATTTCGAAAAGTGCTCTACTGTGTACAATAAAACAATGGTAGAGGAAATGAAAGCATGATAGATTATGAAGATCAGACTGATTAACTGTCAGTGAAGATACAGGGGGAAAAATATCTCTATTTAACGTTTGTTATGGGTTCAATTACTTAAAACCTTTTCCCTACAAAAATGTTTAATTTCCTGTATATTTACTTATAAGTAATCTAACATCACATCTAAACGCTACTGATCCTCCCATCCACCCATCTAGAATATTTTAACTTAAGAGTGTGATCACACACGGGAACGTAAGAAGAGTAACATATGTTAAAATTACAACTGACTCTTCTCTTCAGTGTTGTATTTTTACTTTTAAACAGTTTGATAACTCAATAATTTTGATTCGTAGTTAATTATTTAGCACTTATCTTCTCTCTGATTAATATTATTTTCATTAGATTTAATCTATTGATTAGAACTCAAAAATCTAAGAATTATACAAACATATGGGCATATACTGAACAGCTCCCATCAGCCAGGAGATTTGAAATCTCATCTTCTATAGGTTATGATGAAAGCAAACGTTCAACAAAAAAAACAAAAACCAAGGTAACAAAATACCGGTGTATTTTTAGGTATTTTCGACTCTTTTTCAACATGGTTTCTTTAAATGATAATAGTTTTTTAAAACGTACGTATGTTTATTTTCCGAGAACAGACCATACTAAAATATTGTTAACAAAATAAAATATAATGGAAAAAACATATAACCGTCCAATGATAGAAGTAAGATGGAATTTTTTTTTCTACAAAAATCTTCGCTTTTGTCGAATACTACTGAAATACAAAATATTATAATTGTGTTGCTTAAGTTTTATTTCCTAAGCATTTGAAATACTATTTACTCGTAAAAGTACGCAATGCACGATAGTATGCGTGTATAACTTTGGTAGAGCGTGTAATGATACTTATATAAACAAACCGGTATATGTAAGTTTATAAACATTGTGAAACTTTCAGCACTGTGATTATGGGCCATAGCTCCGTAGGAGAGTCATATGTAAACATTGATGTTGAAAGCTTTCAATAAATTAATAGCAGAGTACTTAGAGAACCACTTTTCTCTCGCATTTTTGATATGGAGGAGGAACGCGCGAATGGTATGGTTGTTGAGGTGTTTTCTTGAGTGTTTATATAAGTACTTTATAGAGAGTTTACTTGGTTTCGACTCTCTGTATCGTTTGTATTTTCGTTGTTAAATGAGTACAAATTTCGTTAAAAATTATATGCTTTGCATGTCAGTTATGGATCGTCCTCTCTGAGTATAGCATACATACGGGGTGGGCCACGGTAAACTTTTCTAATAAAGGAAAACAAACCTACAAGTATTGCATAATCACAAGATCAGTCTGACATTGCAAATGTATTATTCGCATGTAAAAAGTCCCATGAAATAGAACAGAATCAGTATTTTTAATATTTCTACGCGGTGGGAATTGACTGTGACCCATCCCATGTATATTTGAGTAATGTCAATGGTTAGTGTTAGTGTAATGGTGAAGTTTTGTTTACAGACGTGATATAGAATTAATATAAACACATACAAAGTTACTTAGCTGTTGATATACACTATAAGTATTATCACGATTCACCTTTCAGTGTTTGTTTAATCCTAACAGATCGAATATGATATTCGGTGAGGATGGACGCATGCCAAAATAACCTATGAACAAACCTCCCTGTATTATATTCAATTACAAAGTCACTTATTGGAATTAAGATTCTGTTTTAACTCCTGATACGTCTCCTGTTATTGTATTTCTATAATAATTTATAATGTTTCAGGACTTAGCTACGTACACGTAAAATAACTTGATTAAGTAGTGTATGGAATAACGTTTTCTGGAAAATAATTTGTAAATGTTAAAAATTCCATCCTACATTCGCAAGAAAATGTAATGGTTTATAAGAAAGACGTTTTGATGAAAACCCAAAAAACATAAATAGTAGGG